AATTGACCCTTGTTTTCCTCACAAAATATTCCTCTTTGTTTCATTTATCCTCCTGATCTTGAAGTCTCCTTTGTCTTGTATTAATATAGCCTCACCAGCTTTCTTATGACTAATATTTGCATAGCACATCTTTTTCTATTCATTTACTTTCAGCTCTCTGTACTTTATATTTAAACTATGTCTCTTGTAAACATGCAGTTAGGTCTTTTTTGTAAAAACCAGTCTGAAAATCTGACTCTTACTTGGATTGTTTCATCCATTTACTTGTGTGTGTGTGTGTGTGTGTGTGTGTGTGTGTGTGTGTGGTACGTGGGCCTCTCACTGCTGCGGCCCCTCCCGCTGCGGAGCACAGGCTTCGGACGCGCAGGCTCAGCGGCCATGGCTCACGGGCCCAGCCGCTCCGCGGCATGTGGGATCCTCCCGTACCGGGGCACGAACCCGCGTCCCCTGCGTCGGCAGGCGGACTCTCAACCACTGCGCCACCAGGGAAGCCCCATCCATTTACATTTAATGTCATTATTTATATGGTTTCGTTTAAGGCTTCTATGTTGCTGTTTCTTTTCTGTTCATCTCATATGTTCTTTGTTCCTTTGAGACTACTTTCCTGCGTTATTTTATTTATTTTTTTTAATACATTTATTTTATTTATTTATTTATTTTGGCTGCATTGGGTTCTCGTTGCTGCACGTCTACTTTCTCTAGTTGTGGCCCGCGGGGGCTACTCTTCATTGTGGTACACGGGCTTCTCATTCTGGTGGATTCTTTTGTTGCGGAGCATGGGCTCTAGGCACGTGGGCTTCAGTAGTTGTGGCATGCGGACTCAGTAGCTGTGGCTCGTGGGCTCTAGAGAACAGGCTCAGTAGTTGTGGCACATGGGCTTAGTTGCTCTGCAGCATGTGGGATCTTCCCGGACCAGGGATCGAACCCATGTCCCCTGCACTGGCAGGCGGATTCTTAACCACTGCACCACCAGGGAAACCCCCTGTGTTATTTTAGATCAAGAAATTTTTTTGTATTATGTTTTATTTCCTCTATTGACATTTTAGCTCTTTTAGGTTTTTTTTTTTTTTGGTTATTCTTGGGATTATAATGTGCCCTCCTAATTTGTCACAGTGAACCTAAAATTACTATTTTTCTACTACACCTACAATGTAAGAACCTTAAACAGTATAATTCTGTTTACTTCTGTCTAGCCCTAATATGTTATAAATCCTGCAACGCCTTATGATGTTTGTTTTAAGCAATCACTTTGCAAAATTTTTTAAAATAATCTTTTATATTTACCTACATATGTACCATTTCTAATACCCTTTTTTCCTTCTTGTAGCTCTGGATTTCCATCTGGAATTATTTCCCTTCAGCCTGAAGAACTTTCTTTAGCATTTCCTTTAGTGTGGGTCTAATAGTAAAACCCTCTCTGATTTTGTTTATCAGAAAATGTATTTACCTTGCCTTCATTTGTGTGTGTGTGTGTGTGTGTGTGTGTGGTTTAAAAAAAAACCATAAAATTTACCATTAAACCATATTTATGGGTATGGTAGTTCAGTAGTGTTGAGTATATTCACATTGTTGTGAAACAGATCTCCAGAACTCTTTCATCTTGCAAATTTGAAGCTCTATAACCACTAAATAAACAATTCCGTTTCCCCCACTACCTTGGCCCCTGATAACCACCATTCTCCTTTGTTTCTATGAGTGTGACTATTTTACATACCTCATCTAAGTGGAATCATAGAGTACTTACACTATTAACGCCTGGATTATTTTACTTTTGGCATAACATCCTGAGGTTTCATCCATGTTATAGCATGGAACGGGACTCAGTCTGCCTTCAAACACCTCTAATGAATTTTTCAGTTCAGTTATCGTATTTTTCAGCCCCAGGAGTGCCGTTTGGTTTTTTTTATAGTTCCTCTTTTTCAGTACTCTCATTTTGTTCATGTATCATTTAGTTGTCTTTCTATACTCTCTCTTTTAGTGCGTTGAGCATCTTTATTTTAAATTCTTCATCAGGTAGTTCATAGATCTACATTTCTTTAGAATTGGTGTCTGGAGTTTTATTTTGTTCCTTTGAGTGGGCCTTGTTTCCCTGCTTCTCTGTATGCCTTGTAATTATTTTTCCCCGCCCCTGGGATTTTTTCCTGGGCATTTGAAAAAACAACCACCTCTCCCAGTTTTGCTTACTGGCTCCATGCGGGGGAAGACCACCCATCAGCCCTGCTGGCTGTTCTAGAACCTCTCAAACCTTTTTGAATCTCTTTCGCCCCCTGGTGTCTCCCACAGAACTGCAGCTCTGAGTTAAGTCAGTGCTCTGAGTCAGGCAAGTTATAAATCAGTTCCTACAGTAACCCCCAGACAAGCCAGAATATTGGACACACAGTCCACTCTTTTGTTTCCACGTCAAGGGAGGAGCCCCAGTCTGGGGGTTCCTTCGCAGCTGCTCTGCACTATGCCACATAGAGGGAGAAGCATGAATACGCACAGCAAATGCTGCAAACCTTCCTACCCCTGTGCTAAAGTCTCTTCTTGGTTTTCCAGTGGCTGGGGTGCCATAGCTTCTCAGCTGGTCTGCAGAGTTCTCACAGTGGTGGTCTGGTCCGTATATTGTTAATTTGGTGTATCTGCTTCCTAGTCTGCCATCTTGCCAACATCATGCTCCTTGCTTTCGTTTCTGAAGAATTTTTTTTTTTTGAACTATAGTTGATTTACAACATTATGTTAGTTTCAGGTGTACAGCAAAATGATTCAGTTATACATATATTTATATATTCTTTTTGAGATTCTTTTCCATTATGGGTTATTACAAGATATTGAATATAGCTCCCTGTGCCATACAGTAGGTCCTTATTGTTTTTTGAAGACTGCTTTTACTCGATATGGAATCTGGCTTGACAATTTTTTTCCTCCAGCCCTTTTTTTTCTCTTTTGGCCGCATTGCGTGGCTTGTGGGATCTTAGCTCCCCGACTAGGGATTGAACCTGCACCTTAAGCAGTGAAAGCATGGAGTCCTAACCACTGGACCGCCAGGGAATTCTCTTCCTCCAGCCCTTTCAAAGTTTCATTCCATTTCCTCCTGGTTGCCGCTGCTTTAGATAACAAAGTCAGGTTAGAATTCTTATTTTTGTTCCCCTGAAGGTAATGTATCTTTTTCCCTAGCTCTGTCTCATCTTTGGTTTTCCGCAGTTTGGCCATGAAATGCATATTTATAGCCTTCTTTGTTTTTACCCTACTTGGTCTGTGGAGCTTACTGAATCTGCATGTTGACATCTTCATCAATGTTGGACATTTTTGGCCATTCATATCTCTTCAAATATTTATTCTGATTCTCTTCTTAATTTACACAGAGAAGGAAATTTGCTATTTAATGTTGTTGTTTTTTTAAATTATCTTTGGCGGCATTGAGTCTTCGTTGCTGCACGCGGGCTTTCTCTAGTTGTGGTGCGTGGGCTTCTCATTGCGGTGGCTTCTCTTGCCGTGGAGCACAGGCTCTAGGCGTGCAGGCTTCAGTAGTTGCAGCACGTGGGCTCTAGGGTGTGCGGGTTTCAGTGGTTGTGGCTCATGGGCTCTAGAGCGCAGGCTCAGTAGTTGTGGCGCACGGGCTTAGTTGCTCCACGGCACGTGGGATCTTCCAGGACCAGGGTTTTAACCCGTGTCCCCTGCATTGGCAGGCAGATTCTTAACCACTGTGCCATCAGGGAAGTCTGGCAGGTGGATTCTTAACCACTACATCACCAGGGAAGTCCAGAAATTTGCTATTTATTGTCTCACAAGTCATTAAGGCTCTGTTCCTTCCCCCCCACACACACTTTTTCTTTTTGTACTCAAGTTTCAGATTGGATAGTTTCTATTGGCATTTCTTTGAGGGCACTGATTCTTTCTTCAGCCATATCCAGGGCTGTTAAGTCCATCTGGTGAAATTTTCATTTCCAATTATTTTCCATTTCTAAAATTGCATTTTCTTTCTTCCTTCTGTGGTTAACATTTTCATTTCTCTGTTGCAATTCCCCTTATATTAATTTGTTGTGTTCACCACCCCTATAAAAAGTCTTTCATGTGTTTATAGCAGTTGTTTTAGTCCTTATCTGGTAATTTCAACATCTGGGTCATTTCTGGTTCTACGTCTATAGATTGTTTTTTCTGTCTCGGTCATGGGTCACATTTTCCTGCTTCTTCACAGTCCTACTAATCTTTAATTTTATACTGGGTATTATGCATGATATGTTGTAAAAATCTGCTAAGTAAAATTGCATTTTGTTCTGGCAGGCAGTTAAGTTACTGGCAGGTCACCCTGTCCCCATGTGGATGAGAGTTGCCCTTGGCCCTAGAGCATCCCTCTTAGTCTCAGAAGGCGGCCCCTCCTCCTAAGATGTGCCCCTTAGTTTCACAAGGTGTTAAACAAGCTTCTCGAACTTGGTGGATCTTGAATACCAAACCCTGTCTTTCTGGCACCACACAGCTGTTTAAATCTCTGCTCAGCAGTTTACCTTCCAGATGTTGCTTTTCCTTAAAGCCTCACCCTGTGCTTGCACAGTTTGGAGACGAAGCAAGAATCTGAGGGAAGATGCTATGATGATACTGGGTCTCCTACCTCTGTGACTCATTTTCTCCAGAATTTCCCTTTCAGTGTTTAACCACAATGGCAGTCCTGATATGTGACATAGGTTTCCTCGTTTCACTAAGACTGCTGCTTTTTGGTTAAGCTCTATTTCTCCCTGAGTCCCACAGGAAGTCAGGAGTTCCCATGGGGGAAAAGCCAGGTCAATGTGCATCTCATTCCATATGTGTGCTTCCCTTCTTTCGAGGATAGCATTCCTTCCCGCTTTCACCTGTTTCTGGTTGTTCTTCAGTGCTTTCAAGTAGTTATCTTCTCATTTTGTCCAGAGCTTATCATTCATTGTTCCTGGCAAATACACACTTCTCTGCCATCGCTGGGACAGTAATACCGGGTGTCATTCCTGAATGTGTGATGGTTATTTCTCTAGAAGTTGTCTTGAAAGTCAGGAAAAATTACCATGGAATTGCATCAAAAACACATTTACCTGCCTTCTGAAGTTAGAAACCAACTCCCTGCTGTATAAGCATTCACAAATTTAATCCTCAAAACAGAAGGAATTTGGAATCAACCTGGGTTAGGGTTATAAGTGTTTAATATTAAAGCAGTATAAAGTAAACCAGGGACTGGCGAGCTTTCTCTGTAACGGGAGTGATAGTAAATGTTTTAGTCTCTGGGTCATTACAGCCTCTGTTGCAGCCACTCACCTTGCTTTTGTAGCATGAAACTAGAAGCAGGTGACATGGCGATGAATGCACCTGGTCAATAAAACTTTATTTACAGCACTGAAATGTGAATTTCGTGTTATTTTCTCAGGTCATGAAGTAAGTCCTTTTGAACTTATTTAACCATTTCAAAATATGAAAAACCATTCTTAGCTCACAGGTCATACAAAAAACAGGCCGCGGGCAGGATGTGGCCCCAGGCTGTAGTTCACTGACCCCTGGAGTAAACCTGCAGGCAGTACTGTCAATTATTCTGTTTACCTCTTATTTTACCTGTGGGCCAAAATTGTTTGAATGACCAAACACACATAGGTTTTCACCTGCTTCCTTCTTTTAGCCTAATTGGTTCTGATATGTGAACATGCCTAGGAACTGCTTTGCAGAATTGTTTACACAAAACTCTATATATCCTGTACTTCCTGGATGTCTGAGGGTTTTCAAGTATAATTCTCTGTGCACGAGTTTTGCCTTACATTTGACCCTAGAACGTAACTCCATTGTACAAGCCTCTCGGGCCCAAGAAATCACTTTGACGGTTTTCAAGTTACTGCCTCTCTACTCCAAGTCCACCCTTCTTTGTCCTGCCTTGTGATACTGGAACTGGACCCTGTAAACATTTCTCCCTTGGCAGCTGGCCTAGGACCTACCTTGGAGGCTTTTTCAGGAGGTCCCTGGAGGAGGAAGACACTTCTCTTCCCGTTTCCAGTGGACTCGCACCTGCTTGTAGCTGTAGCACACGGTGACCAATTGCACTTGGGATTCCCAGGGGCACCCCTGCTGCACACAGCATCCAGTTGGCTCCCCTGCATCCCGGCCAGCTGCCCAGCAAGTCACACAGAAGTCCCAGAAAGTTCCAGAAGGAAGCTTCCCAGAGAAATCTCAGGGGCACCACACCCACCGGCAGTTTCCCAGGGAGTTAGTTCCACCAGTACCTGAGAGAGGGGCCTCCTAGAAAGTTCTGCTGGCATCACCCCACGGGTGGTTTCCAGAGTTCTGCCACCACCCCAGGGAACAGCTTCCCTGCAATAGCGAATCTGGCGGCACCCTGGGGGCAACTTGCCAGTGGTTTCCACTAGCACCTCTAGAGGACGGGTCCCTGCTTGCCAGCCCCAGCTTATGGCACCCCTGCAGACTCTGCCTCCTCCCCAGAGAGGCCTGGATCTCAGCCTCGGGGGGACTGTCTTCCAGGATTAGTTTCTCCCTCAGCCCTTGTGGTAGTCGATACTCCTACTGCCTGTTACTTGTGTGTTGTTTAGAGTTCCCATTACCCCTTAGCAGTTCATCCTTGTTACTATGATTCTGCTTGGGTTTTTTGTTTGGCTGCACCAAGTCTTAGTTGTAGCATGCAGGCTCTTAGTTATGGCTCGTGGGATCTAGGTCCCTCACCAGGGATCGAACCCAGGCCCCTCGCATTGGGAGCAAAGAGTCTTAACCTCGGGACCACCAGAGAAGTCCCACTAATGATTCTTTTATTAAACTTTCCCTGTTCATATTAATGTGTGGTTTCTGTGTCCTGACTAACCCTGATGAAAACAAAGAGTTTCAAAACCTGCGGGATCTTAGTTCCCCAACCAGGGATGGAACCCGAGTCCTCTGCAGTGGAAGCGCAGAGTCCTAACCACTGGACCGCCAGGGAATTCCCAGCAAACAATTTTCTGTTACCATTTCCTCTGAACTACTAATATTTCCTTATATGTTGAATTATTTATTGTTTATCAATAGATTCATTTCAGAGATGATCACTATGTTATTTTATCCTGTTCATCAGAAATAGCCTGTTCTTTGTTGTGTATATATTTTTTTTAATTAAAAGGTCTTGTTTTGGACTTCCCTGGTAGCACAGTGGTTAAGAATCCACCTGCCAATGCAGGGGACATGGGTTCAAGCCCTGGTCCGGGAAGATCCCACATGTCCCAGAGCAGCTGGGCCTGCGTGCCACAGCTGCTGAGCCTGTGCTCTGGAGCCCGTGAGCCACAACTACTGAGCCCGCATGCCACAACTACTGAGCCCACATGCCTAGAGCCTGTGCTCCGCAGCAAGAGAAGCCACCACAGTGAGAAGCCCGCGCACTGCAACGAACAGTAGCCCCCGCTCGCTGCAACTAGAGAAAGCCCGCGCGCAGCAACAAAGACCCAATGCAGCCAAAAATAAATAAATTTATTTTTTTAAAAAAAGATCTTGTTTTGGGCTTCCCTGGTGGCGCAGTGCTTGAGGGTCCGCCTGCCGTTGCGGGGGGCGCGGGTTCGTGCCCCGTTTCGGGAGGATCCCGCATGCCGCGGAGCGGCTGGGCCCGTGAGCCGTGGCCGCTGGGCCTGCGCGTCCGGAGCCTGTGCTCCGCAAATGGGAGAGGCCACAACAGTGAGAGGCCCGCATAACGCAAGAAAAAAAAAAAAAAAAAAAAAAAAAAAAAGATCTTGTTTTATGTCTATTCCTATTTTTCCCCTTTTTCCTTCCAGTACCAGAAGCATGGACGTTAAGGAAACGCACAGTACAGATACTTGGATACTGACTTTGTACTGATCACTCGTTTACAGGCATTGCCGAAGGGCTGCAGGAGGTGAAACCCCCAGGCCCTGCCAACGGGATGCAGATTGATTCAGGAGAAACGGAAATACTCAGAAAAGCCGTCGAGGACTATTTCTGCTTTTGTTACGGTAAAGCTCACTTTAAGCATTAATTCTCTGAATAGTTCACTACAGAAGATGGTATTAGAAATCATTTTATCAGCGTGACTATTTAGACTGTCTCTAACGTTGGAAAAGTCCACATTCACATCAAGGGAAGAGCCAGTTAAGTACCAGATCAAGTCGTCTTACGGAAGACCACTTGGTCTCTTCTGGTCCATTGGAAGCTCTGAATTCATCAGCCTTCAGTCTTTGCAGAGCCCCCTCCCCATGGCCATGCAGTTATTACAGATGTTCATGGTTGGTTCACGCACCAGCCTCATCCTCATTGGTCTCCCCACCTACCCACATCTTCCCACAGGCATGGAGACAGGGATTTTTTTTTTAAATACCTACACAGTGCTTTAAAAAGCTAGATAACAAGGAAGTCTGCAGGTGTTGTACTTGTGATAGAAGCACCTTAGCATCTTAGGGCCTGGATCATCATTCCTAGACAGCTGTAAACATCTATGTGACCTGCAGGTCCCTGTGAGCATTTGGATTTGGGGGACTCCTCCAGCATAGGGGATCTTAGGGTCTCAGGCTACACTTCCATATGAGAAATGGAGCTCCAGCACCTCGGGGCTGGTCAGCCAGTGCAGAGACACCGACATATCCCCAGGTGGACTCAGCTTTCTACAGGCAAGTTGGCCCAATCTGTACAGTGTGACACAGGGACACTTAAGCTTTGGGCAGGGCTCTCATCCTCTTTGGCTGCAGCCTGAGTAACCTCAGCGTGTTCCCTGCAGCCCTGGGTGCACCAGGGTGAGCACCCTGAATTGTGCAACCTCCAAGAGAATGGAGAAAAAGACCTATTATTTTCTTTCTTTTGGAAATAGATTATTTTTAGTTAATTAATTTACTTATTGAAATATAGTTGACTTACAATATTATATTAGTTTCAGGTGTACAACATAGTAATTCAATATTTTTTTAATAAATTTATTTATTTTATTTATTTATTTTTGGCTGTGTTGGGTCTTCGTTGCCGCACGCTGGCTTTCTCTAGTTGCGGCGAGCGGGGGCTACTCTTCGTTGCAGTGCGCGGGCTTCTCATTGCGGTGGCTTCTCTTGTTGCGGAGCATGGGCTCTAGGCACGCGGGCTTCAGTAGTTGTGGCACGTGGGCTCAGTAGTTGTGGCTCACAGGCTGTAGAGCACAGGCTCAGTAGTTGTGGGTTACGGGCTTAGTTGCTCCGCGGCATGTGGGATCTTCCCGGACCAGGGCTCAAACCCGTGTCTGCTGCATTGGCAGGCGGATTCTTAACCACTGCGCCACCAGGGAAGCCCCTGTGATTCAATATTTTTATAGATTATGCAACCTATTATATTCTCTTATGTGAAGATTTAAAGGAAAACATTTTGTACTTTTTCTTTTGGCCTTTTGGTCGGAAATTTTATTGAGATATAGAGGCATAGGACACTTTAAGGTTTTAATAAATTTCAGAACCAAATATCACCACCTGTGTTTATGACACTAAGTGAAATTGACTATCAGGGATTTATGCTCATATTGTTTAAAGACATCCTGCTGCTTCTTCTAGGCAAAGCCTTGGGGACGACAGCAATGGTGCCTGTTCCTTACGAGAAGATGCTGAGGGACCAGGCAGCCGTAGTGGTGCAGGGGCTCCCAGAAGGGATCCCCTTTCAACACCCTGAAAACTATGACCTTGCAACCCTGAAGTGGATTTTGGAGAACAAAGCGGGGATTTCATTCCTTATCAACAGGTGATAGGCTCTACCCCCTCCTAACAGCTGATACACTGACAGCTTAATTTCAGTTAGTTAATTCTGTCCCGTTATGTTAGAAGTTGGTTATTCAGATGTTTAATCTGTCCGTCTTGTGTGTTCATGTCAGGTAACAGTGTTGGTTTTCTTGCAGACCCTTCCTGGGTCCCGTGAGTCAGCTAGGTAAGCGACAGCTTCTCATACTTGGTGACTACCCTTGACTGCTAAACCAGTTCTGCTTAATTAAAATGCAAGTTTGGCACATTCTAAAGCTTGTTTATGCTTTGTCTTTCCTGCGTTGAGGAGGCCACCTCTGATGCCGGGGCCACGGGTGGTGGGGATGTTTGCAGGGACTACAGCTCAGGGAAACACACATACCCAGCCTGAGAGCCAGGACGCCACCCTCCCGTCAGCTCGCATGCCGGCGAGCGTCTGCGTCCAGCCCTTGGAGGGCAGGAGATCTACCTTGTCCATGTGCACAGGAGTGTGAGGATGCTGGAGTGACTTCCTGGTCTTTGAGCACCAACCACGGGCCAGGCGTTGTGGGATTCAGGAGTGTTCTGGGCTCTGTGACCGTTCCCGTGCTTCTGAGATACATGATCTGGGAGGAGGAAAGAGACTGTTCAGAGAACCAGGGGTGACCCGTGGAGGAAATCCCTGAGAGCCCCCAGAAGGGGTTAGAATTGTGTGGTCAGAAGAGCTTCCTGGAGGAGCTGGCCTCCAGGATAAGCAGGATCTCAATAGCTTGGTTCCCCCGGGAAGCCCATTCCATGTGGTCAGGCAGAAAGTTATGTGCAGGGTGTTTGAGACCATGTTTGGGAAACCAGGACCCCTCATAAGCTTCTTAACTGATGAAGGGACCAAAAAAGAAAATAGTAATTTTACCAGGAGCATTTAGAGATCCATCTATGCCCACATCCTTATTTTCTCAGATTATTATTCTGGATCATAGTTGGAAACCTTGGGCCATAGCTGTTCATGAAAGACCAGGTCTAAAGAGGGTGTTATGCTGAGCCTATATAGGTACAGAAGCCAGGTGGCAGGGGTGGGTGGAGGGTCTGTCCACATGGACTACCTTGGGGTACAGAGGGCAATGAGACACTCCTGTGCATGGGCTACTCACAGAGAAGGTATTTCTGGAGCACTTGTGAGTTCCTGGGGTCCCCCAGCTCACATTAAAGGAGGGACTGGAGGGTGAGGGATGGTAGGTGACCAGGTAACTGTTTTCCCAGGTGGCTTGTATTGTCATTATAGAAATAATGGTAATAGTTGCTGACACTTATTTTGTGATAGGCACTCTTCTAAGCACTTTGCATGTATTAATTAATCCTCACCCAACCACCATTTTGAGACGAGGAAACTGAGGCACGAGGAGGCTTAGTAACCTGCCAGAGGTCGCTCCGGCACAGGTTTGCTCCTTGGCCCCCATTGTGGCCACACAGATGACCCAGGCCCCGGGGGCTGCTTTGAGTTGGTCTCTCCTCTGCTGCTATTCCACGATGACCTAGAGCCAGGAATTCTGTTCTCTTTATATTCGCTTTCCCTTTATATGCCTTTGAATGTTGTCATATTTCAAGGTGCAGACAGAGGCTAGCATGTGTCTTTTTACTCATGCACAGGTGGGCCTGGGGTGGTAACAGATGCTGAGAGATCAGTGACATCACCAAGTGAAAGGTAAGGGATAAATAAAAAATTAAGTCCACATCTAACCCAAATGTATTAGTTTTTAGGCTATGGAATGTCTTATTTTGTTACATATTCTTTATTCAAAAGGATGTTTGGGATTATGAGAATATATTCATTGACACCTTTAACTTTCTTAATAATTTGTTACAACATTAAAGCTGAGGTAGCTTTGCATTCAGTTTGATGGGGGGAGGGGAACCTATGATGGTGTGGAGATCTGGGGATTAGATTCAGTGTGTCCAGATGCCTTTGGGCAGTTCTCACCCTGCCCATCTTGACCAGCATTCCCTTCTCCTTTCAGCTGTGCCCCCATCAACGTGAAGACTGAACCCATGGAAGATTCTGGTATGTACACTGATGCTTGTAGAATCAGGTGTCCAGCTGGTCATTATTTGACTCCTTTCTTTTGTTTTACTTAAAAATGGGACTTTCAGTAAACCAGGAATAGAGGGGAATTTCCTCAACTTGATAAAATAAAATTTACAAAAAACCTACAGCTAACATCGTATTTCATGCTGAGAAACTAGAATCTTTCCCACTAAGATCAGGAGCAAAGCAAGGATGTCCCCTCTCATCACTCCCTTTCAACATCATCCCAAAAGTCCTAGCTAATGCAATAAGACAAGAAAAGGAAATATAAGGTATATGGATTGGGAATGACAAACTGAAACTGTCTTTAATTTGCAGATGATATATTGGTCCATATTTGGATAGAAGATCCCAAAGAATCAACAAGATAATGGGGAGAGGTCACTAATGAACCTCAACAGGGGCCTTATTTGCAGAATAATCATATTTCACTCAAATATCTAGGAAAAAAAGCCTTCTAATTCAATAAATATTAGGTACTAAGATGGTATTAAGTAGATACATTTGTATTTTAATTATATAGAAATTAGAACTTGACTGCTAAATGAGTAAAAAGTCTTGAATACACATTTGGAATATGAATTTGATTTATGAATAAAGCAGTGTTTTTATTTTTGGACATAGCTTATTTTATTGCTTTCTTACTCTCTGTCATTTCTAAATGTTCTACAATAGACGTACATTACTATGACAATGTATATTGGGAAAAAAATCCCTCTTTGATGGTGAGAGTAGTTAACCCCCATCCCTGCTCTCCCATGCCTCAAATAATAATAATAATAATAATAATAATGGCATTAGAAGGAAAAATGTTAAAGGTTAAAAATTGAAAAAGAAATTTTTAACTCAAATGTTTAATCAAGGGATGGAAAAATATTGAAAGCATTAGAAGTAGAAACGTTAGAAAACCTAAAATAAACAAGTACATAAAACTGAAACTCAAACCTCAAAAAGTTAAAGATGAACACAAGCTGACTGTACAGGGTAAAATGAGAAGTTAATAACGTTTAGAAAAGCAACATAGAAATAAGAAGTAAACAGTTCCAAATGTAAAGTTAAATCTGAGATAATGTAAAAGAAAAATATTCAATATTAAGAAAAGATGGAGAGAGAAGGCGAAGCGAGATGTTACCTCCAGTGAAATGGAGGTCAGAGCACGAGCTTTGCTGAAGGTGTCAGATGTGGCTTATGCTTAGCTGACTCCCCAGTCCCTTGGGGCAGGAATAGCCTGAATCCAACCTTGTCATACCCTAGGGTCGCTCCTATCCACAGATAAATATGTGCTTGGTAGAAGCTCCACCTTCAACGTCAGCCTGAAAAGAGGGCCTGTCCATTGTAGTTATTCTGGGTAAAACCAACACAAGTCAACGGAAAGGAGCCAGATATTTCAGCCAACAGAGTTCAGCTGTGGCGTCTTCATCCCACTTACACATGACACGCCTTACACGCTTGCCCCTTTAATCTTAGCCTTGGACGCGTTTCCAAGCTCAGATACATTCTGCCTGCATCTCTGTTGGTAACAGAGAATTTAAAACCCCCAAGCCACAGTCTCCTCTCAGAAACCGGGAAAACAAATGGGGTGGGAGTGAGGGGTTGTCGGCTCTCCCCAGGGGGCCCTTTCAAGGATCCGCAGCCCTACCGCCTTCCCTTCCCTCCTCACCAGCTATTGGGTGGATGAGCGTTTCCCGCCAGCCTTAAAATAGGCCTCTTTTGTTGAGGCCTCTCTTTGGAGATGTGATTCCCTATAAACAATCCCTAATAATGTGACTTTCTACCATGGATTTCATGATACAAATTGCTTCCAGGTGCCTGCAGGCTTCTGTGACCATCCATTGGCCTTATTTCCTGTGATGTTTGTGTAGCACTTGCTGCACAGAACGTTTAAATGGTTTTAACTTCTGAATTTCCCCCTACCCCCTCATATTTTGAGGAAAGGCTGAAGCAATTCTGCATTCTGCACCGTCAGATCTGCTTTCAGTTGCCTGCATTGAAAAGAAATTTTTCTTTGACAGCCCAGCTGTCACATGTTTATCAAATGTTTGTATTTTAAAGTTTTACTATAAATTACAAAAGTTCTACATGTTTTAAATAAAAATTCAGTGTAGTAAGTGGTAATAAGTAAAATTGCTCTTCACTCCTCCCCTCTCAAAACTCCATCTCTCTTAAATCTCACTGCACCTCAAATTCCATCCCCATTTTAAGGGCAACAGCTCTTAACCAACTTGTGGAAATTCGTTCAGATCACTTACAAACATGTAAAAAGCTTTTTTTCTTTTTTATGCACAAGTAGACCTCCATTTGTGAGCTCTCCTTTAATCTTTCCATCAGACTACCTTTCTGTCGCACTTCTGAGCAATTTCCTCAACTTGCTTAAGTGCAATATCCATTTCATTGATATGGCCATCGGCCATGTCCATTCTGTTCCTCAGTTTAACACATTTTTCTTTTTGACAGTCACATTCGTTAATACCCAATCTTACTACCCCTATGCCAACAGAGCTGTTAAAGGTTTTCAGAAGACCTCCCCCCGCAACTTGTAAATTAACGCTGAACAGTGAAATCCCGAGCTTGTCACAATTTTTGTTTTTGCTTCTATTAACTTTCACTGTTAAATTATATGTATACTTCAGTATCAGTTATCTATTGCAGCATAAAAGAGCACCCCAGAACTTAGTGGCTTCAAACAATAATTTAGTCTTTCTTACAATTCTGTGTGTTGGCCAGGCCGTCCTTCTGGTCTGGGCTGGCCTCACTCCTGGGGCCGAGGCCTCAGCTGCCAGAGTTGGGCCTACCTCTCCTCTTGGTCTCACATCCTCCAGGCTCATTCACATGGCAACTCTGTTCCAAAAACAGCAGATGCTGATGCACAAGCACTTTTCAAGCCTCTTCCTACATCCCACTGGCCAAAGCAAGTCACATGGCCAGGCCCAGATTCAAACGGTGGAGTAGTTTTCCACTTCTAGAAAATAGGAGTGGGAAAGTTACATTGCAAACAGGTGTATATACTGGGATGGAAGACATTTGTGGCTAATTTTTGCCATCCACTACACCTTTCCCTGATAAAGCCTTTTGGTTTAACCAATGTAGTTTCCCCAGGTTTTGAAATTCATTTTGTTGTAGTAAGTAAATTAAGATTATCTGTGCCAATTTGGGCCCCGTTACAGCAGAATATTTGCAATATTTATATTGCATATAAATGCATGTACATATTCATCCATCTTGAAAGGGAAAATTTCCTGGAATTAGACCTCTTTCTCCTTCCCTTCTTTTCCTCCTTCCTGCCATCCATCTCTCCTCCCTTCCTTCTTTGCTTTATGTTGTTTTATTATTATTTTATATTTATATTTTTTTATGGATAAACCATTTGTCCCTACTGCATGAGCTACAAGTTCTTTTGCTGATTGCCGTGTTGCTGTGTTAATCCAAACAGAACCTGGAAGATATACTAACCAGTCATATCTCTGTTCGTAAGTCTAGCCTAACACATAATTTTATAATTTCCATTGCATTCAAAGGCATTTCACCGAAAGCAACAGTTATGTCAGTCAAGAAAGAATCAGAAGATCCTAATTACTATGAATATAGTATGCAAGGTAATATCATTTTATAATGATTTTCTTCTTTAGAAGTTATCTGTGAAGGAAAATTTTAATTAGCACCCATCTGAAAAACAGGTAAAGAGTCGTAAAGATCCATGTACATTTACCCAGGATCTAACACACTGCCATTAGGGTAAACAATTTTACAGTCATAAAATAGATTGTATTGATACTTAGCCTGAATCCACATGATTCTAGGCATCCGTGAATGTAAAGACATTTCAGGCTGCATTTTACTAGAGTTTGTCTGTTAAATATTATTTTGTGTGATCTAAAATATTCCCGCCTTAATTCTCTTCTGTCCAGTCTGTCCCCTAGGTTGCTGAGAAAATAGTAAGTGTTAAAAGAGATGGAGATGAGTTAAGAAATTCAAGTGCCTTTTCTTTTCTTTTTTTTTAATTAATTTATTTATTTTTGGCTGCGTTGGGTCTTTGTTGCTGTGCGCGGGCTTTCTCTAGTTGCAGCGAGCAGGGGCTACTCTTCATTGCCGTGCGTGGGCTTCTCATTTCAGTGGCTTCTCTTGTTGTGAAGCACGAGCTCTAGGCACACACACTTCAGTAGTGGTAGCACGCAGGCTCAGTAGTTGTGGCACACGGGCTTAGTTGCTCCGCGGCATGTGGGATCTTCGCGGACCAGGGCTCAAACCCGTGTTCCCTGCATTGGAGGCGGATTCATAACCACTGCGCCACCAGGGAAGTCCATCAAGTGCCTTTTCTTAATAGTTGTTTCATTGACAGCATACAAGTTCAACGGGGAGAAGACAATTGTTACCAAATACACAAACGTTCCAAACATGGCACAGGTGGGTGCTGTGTGCATTCTCTACCCAAAGACCAAAATCCCGCTGGACCCCAGCGTGATGTCAGTTTGACGATATGGTACCATCATGTCGCTGTGACTGCCGTACGGTGTTCAGATTCTTCTCCATCTTCCAGCTCCACTGGGAATGGAGACAGAGTGCTGGACGATTTGCAGTCACATCCTCAAACATTATCAGATCGGAAATGTTTCCTACAAAATCTTAACTTTGAAAATTTTTCTGCAGCATTACGTAGCTCTGAAACTTTCGCTAAAAGAATTGTTTCAAAAAATCTAAAGGCAGAGACCAGTGGAAGTTCTGCTGTAATTGCTCTTTCCTGGGCCAACCCCACCCCACCCTCGTCTGCCCCCACCTGGCCTGTCCCTTGTGACCAGTCTCCTTCCCTCGGGGCAGAGGATCTCTTTTCAGTCCATCCCACACACCCCACCCCAATCACTTGTTCTCTGAGAACTGGGATCTGCCCACCTGTCTCCGCCACTCACACTGTCTGTGACTCCTAACCACCCGTAAAGTCCCAGTTTCCTTCCACGTTCCTAGTGCTCTTTCTGGTCTCCCCTCCTATTTCATCTGCCTCCGCAGCCATCACCCTCCCTGGGCTCTTCAGACACACAGCTCGGTCCGTGATTCCTTGAACGTGCCCTGAATCCACCTTCCACGGGGCTTTTATATAAGCTGATCCCTCCCTGTGACTCCCTTCCTACCCTGCAGACCGCTGAGGAGTTCCCCCTCTTTTTTCTGGGCACAGTCAGAATCTCAACTCCTGCAGGGAGCTTCCAGCATTTAGTGTGACCTGCTGTGTTCTATCTATGCTTTTGCCAGGACTCCCTCAGCTAGTGGCAGGAAACACAGCATCTTACTCCCGCCCTGGAGCCCCAAGCCCGGGCTTTCTACATACTGAGCACTCAAATGTGCTTGCTGAGTTGAATGTGACCCTCATGAAGAATCAGTGTAACATTTGTTTCTAAATGACTGTTGTTTTGAACAAACTACTTTTAATTAAATTACGTCTTGGCTCCCAAGAATATATTTTTGAACTTAAGTGACCTTGGTGTTGATCAAATCGTGTACAGTCAGGGATAGGATACTTACAGATTCTGCTCCAAAAGGCATCAGTGGAATGAACAAGTTAGATGTACCTGCAATTGTTCTATTTTAATTTTTCAGAAAGAAGTACATTATGTGAAGAAAAACATTTACGTTAAATGTGTGAATTTATAATCTTTCTCCTGCTTGGCTTGGAAATGACAGAACTCTTCAAGAGATCTTTGTAGAACAGCTTCCTTCTTGATGCCAAAAAGTTCCAAATTGCCTAACATCATGGACTAACATATTCCATAGCACTGCTAACATATTCCATAGCACTGAACATTTTTGTAACCATTTAGGTTAAATACTCACATGCTGAGGTATTGATGTCTATATCCTTTAAGTAAGGGAGATATTTTTAAATCCAAAAAGGCAATCAGTGCGACCTGCTCAGAATGGCGATCGGCCCTCGGGGAGCCCCAGTGAACACGGCCCCACTAGTGCTCGGAAGCTACCCCCACCAGGACCTCACGATCCATCTGCAACACAGATCTCTCAGAAGACCTCCGACACACATTTACGCGTGCACACATAACATCTTGGCCCACGGAAGTCCCATAGGTCTTTTACATGTGCAGGGATCCCATCTCCAGGGTCCCCAGAAATGAAGAATGCACAGTACAAGCTGTGCTGAGATATAGTGCACCCAGGCTTCCTTGATGCTGATGGATGTCAGAGCATCAGTACCATTCTGTTTTCTTCCTGGCTGACACTGCATGATACGGGAGAGAAGCCTTCCAGGCCCAAGGGAACATGGATACAAAAGCCCAAGATCAAGGAATTAACAGTCTTTCTCGAATCACACCACTCCTACACTGACTCTTCTGCTTCCCTTTTTCACATTTAAATACCCCCGTACATCGATTACATGGAGCCCAGCTGGATAATGCAAGATAATCTTTTCTGAAGGTTAGCAATGAGCACACTTAATCCCATCTGCAACCTAATTGCCCCTTGCCATGTAACGTAATCTGTTCACAGGTTTTTGGATATCTTTGTGGGGGGCCATCAGCCTATGGCAAACAAATCGAGTAACCTAGATGAAATGGACAAACTACTGAAACTGACTAAGGATAAAACGCAAAATTTGAATAGTTATATAACAAGAATTTGAATTAGTAATTCAAAAACTTCCTACAAACAAAAGCACAGGACCAGATGCCTTCACTGGTGAATTCTGCCAAGTGTTTAAAGTCCTTCACAGGACTTCCCTGGTGGCGCAGTGGTTAAGATTCCGCCTGCCAATGCAGGGGACATGGGTTCGATCCCTGGTCTGGGAAAATCCCACACACCGCGGAGTAAAGACGCCCCGTGCACCACAACTACTGAGCCTGCACTCTAGAGCCCATGAGCCACAACTACTGAGCGTGCATGCCACAACTACTGAAGCCTGCATGCCTAGAGCCCGTGCTCTGCAACAAGAGAAGCCACCCCAGTGAGAAGCCCGGGCACCGCAACGAAGAGTAGACCCTGCTCACCGCAACTAGAGAAAGCCCACACGCAGCAATGAAGACCCAACGCAGCCACTACTGAACTGCATGCCTAGAGCCCGTGCTCTGCAACAAGAGAAGCCACCCCAGTGAGAAGCCCGGGCACCGCAACGAAGAGTAGACCCTGCTCACCGCAACTAGAGAAAGCCCACACGCAGCAATGAAGACCCAACGCAGCCAAAAATAAAATAAATAAATTTTTTTAAAAAGTAATAAAGTCCCTCACAAACTCTTACAAAAGATAGAGGAGGGAACACTTCTAAACTCATTCTGTTAGGCCAGTATCATCCTGATACCAAAACCAGACAAAAACAACACAAGAAAACTACAGAAAAATATCGCTTATTCATAGACGTACAAACTTTTTCAATAAAATGCTAGCAAATGAATCCAGGAACATACAAAAAGGATTATACATCATGACTGTTGGGCTGCACCCCACAGGCCTGCAAGCCTTGTAGTTGCCCAGCCTCGAGACCAAAGAAAGCCCAGCGACAGAGACATCAGTGGCTTATTGGGCAGGGGGATCTTACACATCCGAAGCAAAGTCCTGGAGCAACACCCCACCGTGCGGCAAACAGTAGGCAGCACGTAACCGCAACCTTCACTACTTGGAGAAGGAGGCTACCATTTATAGAGCGAATCTATATCAGGTTGGCTCATCAGTAACCAGGAAAACAGCGCTGGAGCAGGGGGCAAGCATGTACCAGTTACTAATTAAGCCCTATAATTAGGAGGATTGGGTAGTCATGTGAGTGAAGCAGGGACTTGTCGAGCTGGGGATGTACAGAGAACAGAAGAACAGCTATCTTGAATGGCCTGATCATACAATGACCAAGTGGGATTGATCCTAGGAAGGAAAGATTAGTTCAACATATGGAAATCTATCAGTGGAATAACAACATAAAGAATAAAGGACAAGACCCACATGATTATGCCCATAGATGTAGGAAAAAGGCATCTGACAAAATCTAATAACCTTTCGTGATTAAAAAAAAAGAAAAAAAAACACTCAAATTAGGAATCCAAGGGAACTTTCTCAACATAATTAAGAGCATCTACAGAAAACCTATATAGCTCATGTCATAATAAGACTGAAGGCTTTCCGCCTAAGACCAGGAACAAGACAAGGACGTCTGTTCTTGCCACTTCTTTTCAACATCGTACTGGAGGTCCTAGGCAGGGCAATTAGGTAAGATAAAAAAGGCATCCAGATTGGAAAGGAAGATGTAAAACTATTTCTGTTTGCAGATGACATGATCTTGTATATAGAAAATCCCAAGGAATACACACACAAATTAGAGCTAATAAATAAGTTTAGCAAGGTTGCAGGATACAAGGTCAATATACAAAAATCAATTGTATATCCATACGTTAGCAATGAACAATCAAAAACTGAAATTTTAAAAAATTCCATTTACCACAGCATCAAAAAGAATGCAATGCTTAGGAATAAATTTAACCAAAGAAGTGTAAGACTTGTACACTAGAAACTACACAACAGGGACTTCCCTGGTGGTCCAGTGGCTAAGACTCCGTGCTCCCAATCCCGGGGGCCCGGGTTCGATCCCTGGTCAGGGAACCAGATCCCACATGCTGCAACTAAGAGTTCGCATGCCACAACTAAAGATCCCACATGCCGCAACGAAGACCCAGCGCAGCCAAATAAATAAATAAATATTTTTTTTAAAGTGGCTGCACTATTTTATAAAACAAACAAACAAAAACAAAAAACTACAAAACAGTGTTAAAGAAATTAAAGAACTAAATAAATGTAAAGACATCCTATGTTCATGGATTGGAAAACTTTCCTACAATTTATGTGGAAATGCAAAGGACCCTGAAGAGCCAAAACAATCTTGAAAAAGAACGAAGTTGGAAGATGTGTACTTCCTGATTTCAAAACCTACTACAGAGCTGTCATTATCAGTATTCCGTGGTACTGGCATGAGGATAGACATATGAATCAATGGAATAGAATGGAGAGTACAGAAATAAACCAATATTTTTATATTCAGTTGATTTTCAACAAGGGTGCCCAAGACTAGTCAATGGGGAAAGAATAGTCTTTTCAAAAAATGGTGCTGGAACAACTGGATATCCACCTGCAAAAAGATCAGTTTGGACCTCTACCTCACACAATATAAAAAAAGATGAACTGGGGACTTCCCTGGTGGTGCAGTGGTTGGGAATCCGCCTGCCAATGCAGGGGACATGGGTTCGAGCCCTGGTCCAGGAAGATCCCACATACTGCGGAGCAACTAAGCCCGTGTGCCACAGCTACTGAGCCGGCACTCTAGAGCCCACGAGCAACAACTACTGAAGCCCAGGCGCCACAACTACTGAGGCCCGTGCACCTAGAGCCCGTGCTCTGCAATGAGAGGCCACTACAATGAGAAGCACACGCACTGCAACAAAGAGTGGCCCCCGCTCTCCACAACTAGAGAAAGCCTGCATGCAGCAACGAGGACCCAATGCAGCCAAAAATAAATAAATAAATATTTTTTAAAAACTCAAAATGGATCAAAGACCTAAGTATAAGAGCTAAAACTACAGTGCTCTTAGGAGAAAACACAGACATATATCTTTGTGACCTTGGATTAGAAAATGGTCTCTTAGATACGGAATCTAAAGCACAAGCAGCCAAAGAAGAAAATAGACAAATTGGACTTCGGCAAAATTAAAACCTCTTGTGCTTCAAGGAATATTATGCAAAAAGGGAAAAGACCACAAACAGAATGAGAGAAAACGTGTAAATTATATATCTGATAAAGACCTAGCATCCAGAATATTTAAGAACACTTTCAACACAATAATAAAAATACAAACTACCCAATTTAAAAATGGGTGGGGCTTCCCTGGTGGCACAGTGGTTGAGAGTCCGCCTGCCAATGCGGGGTACACGGGTTCGTGCCCCGGTCCGGGAAGATCCCACATGCCGCGGAGCGGCTGGGCCCGTGAGCCATGGCCGCTGAGCCTGCGCGTCTGGAGCCTGTGCTCCGCAACGGGAGAGGCCACAACAGTGAGAGGCC